TCAGCATTCAAAAAACTGTCAAAAATTTTTAGTCCTGACAAAGACAGAAGTGAGAATCTGAGAGCCGGATATGCAGGCTGATATTGGCACCCTAAAACCTATGGGTTAAACGAATCTATTAAAAAATTACTATAACGAATCGAAACCCGTTACAGTAATCATTTAATCAATCGAGCCGTCCGATGTGTGTTTTTTTCAGTTAAACATATTTCCGTTTTTTATTTTCGTTATTTTACTGAAGACCGGCTAATGCTCAGCGTCACTAAGTGGCATCTATAGGGAAACAGTCACTTGAGCAACATATGGAGAAATGAGGCAATCACGCAACAGTGATGGTCGATGCAAACTAGCTACACATAGTTTCGCATGCAGATTTCAAGGATCGTCGACCTCAAACAGAATGCTAGCATTCTTGTTCACGACGTGTGGGCAAACGCCAGTACAACTGGACTCCAACTGAACCGGGCTGCCACTAGAATACTTAATTGGTCTTGCGTGAAGGCGACAGGTTCAGAATAGAAAAGTGGAACTGCTAGGCTTCGTGGTAAAAATTAGAAAGGATGACGATGAAAGCAGCAAATGATCAAGGTGTTGAAGTAAATGTGCCATGTGTACAGCAGATAGGGCAGCAGAAAACACTGGTAAATACAATTCCAGACATCACAAAAGCGTAATCACTTGTGATATTTATCAGTCAGCGAACTGCTGCGATCCCGGTGAATCAGGGGCGCTGCCAAATGACTGGTTGTTGCATCCTGAAGTATTGATACGTTAACAACAGAATGACCGTGATAATCCATTACAGCTTTGCGCTTATCAGAACGTTCGCACTTAACGTAACCGGAAGGAAAGCCGTGCGGAGAAGGGAGTGTTTGTTCGCTTTCTTCGCGAACCATCTCTTCATGTACGTCTCTGATGATTTCAGTGTTTTTGCTATCCACAAAAAAGTTTCTATTTAGTGCCGCACCCCTCCTTGCTTCTTTCACATAGTGATTGTATTAGAGCTAGTTATAC